TTGCCTACAATCAGCTGACAGAAGAAAAGAAGACTCAAACTTGGCTTACGGATGATACTGCCCAACATGCAGGCACCACCTGGGAGTGGGTAGCTGCAGCAGTACAGCCTTCTCTTGCACATCTCAAATATTTCAGATTGTCCAGATATTGATTTTGTTATTTTTTTCTAATTTAATCCCATTGTGGCATCCCTAAAGGAGAGTGGTGTGGGAAAATCTTCCCAGTGGGAAGAGCTTCAGGCAATGCACCTCATTGTTCACTTTGCTTGGAAGAAGAAATGGGCAGATGTGCAATTATAGCCAATTCATGGGCTGTGGCCAATAGTTTTGCTGGATAGTTAAGGACTTGGAAGAAAAATGATTGAAAAATTGATGACAAATAACTTTGGGAAAGAAGTATGTGGTAGGCTTCTCTGAATGAGAAAAAAGAGAATATCTTTGTACCCAATGCGAATGCTCACCAAAGGGTAACCTCAGCCAAAGATGATTTTAATAATCAAGTGGATAGGATGAACTGTTCTGTGGATACCAGTCAGCTGCTTTCCCAGCCTCTCCTGTAATAAACAAAGTGGCCATGGGAGTTATGCATAGGCTCCACAACATGGACTCCCACTCACCAAGATGACCTGGCCCTGGCCACTGCAGAGGGCCCAGTCTCCCAGCAGCAGACTAACACTGAGCCCCCAATATGGCACCACCCCCAAGATAATCAACGGTACTTCTACTCACGTGAGTAGGCTCCATCCAATCCACTGATGGACTGGATAGAACATAAACAAGTCCTTGGCACGGTGGCCAAGGTGGGCAGATCACCCGAGATCAGGAGTTGGAGACCAGCCTGACCAACATGGAGAAACCTCATTGCTACTAAAAGTACAAAAATTAGCTGGGCATGGTGGTGGGCAGTGCGCCTGTAATCCCAGCTACTCAGGAGGCTGAGGCAGGAGAATCGCTTGAACCTGGGAGGCAGAGGTTGCAGTGAGCCAACATCTGGCCATCGCATTCCAGCCTGAGAGACAAGAGCAAGACTCCGTCAAAAAAAAAAAAAAAAAAAAAACAAGTGGAAGGGTGAATTCCTCTCTCTGTTTAAGCTAGGAAATCTATCTTCTCCTGTCCTTGGACATTGACGTTCCTGGTTCTCAGGCCTTCGGGCTTGAACTAGAACTACACTACAGCTTTCCTGGGCTTCCAGCTTACAGACCAGCAGACTGTGGGACTTCTCAGCCTCCACAATACTGTGAACCAATCCCTCCTTACAAATCTCTTTCCATGTATCTATACACATCTTATTGATTCTGTTTCACTGGGGGACCTTCACTAATAGAGACATTTTACACTAATGTTCACAAAGGTGATTGATTGTAGAGTTTTGTTGTTTTCTTTCAATTCCCCTTGTAATATCTTTTTCTGCTTTTTGTATAAGGATAATGCCAACCTCAATAATAATTAGTTACAAACTGTTTCCTTCTCTTCAGCTTTTCAGAGGAGTTTCTGTAGAATCAATATTATATTTTTCTTTAAAGGTTTTGTTGAATTTATCAGTTAAATCATTCGGTCCTGGAATTTTTGTTGTTGTTGTTGGAAGGTGTTTTGTTTTGTTTGAGAGGGAATCTCACTCTGTCTCCCAGGCTGGAATGCAGTGGCACAATCTTGGCTCACTGCAACCTCCATCTCCCGGGTTCAAGCAATTCTCCTGCCTCAGCCCCCTGAGTAACTGGGATTATAAGCACGCACCACCATGTGCGGCTACTTTTTGTATTTTTAGTAGAGGTGGGGTTTCACCATGTTGGTAAGGCTGGTCTTGAACTCCTGACCTTGCAATCTGCCCGCATCTGCCTCCCAAAGTGTTGGGATTACAGGCATCAGCCACCTTGCCTGGCCCATTGGAAGGTTTTTAGCTTCAAACTGAATGTTTTCAATAGATATCGTGTGTTTTTTCTTCCTAAGTGTGCCTTGGCAATGTGTCTTTTATGAAATTCATCTACTTTATCTAAATTATCAATTTTATTGGCATGAAGTTATTGATGTTTATCTTTATCTCTTAATATCTGTGGAATCTGTAGTGATGGATCACTTTCATTCCTAATATTAGTAATCTGTGTCTTTTCTTTTTTTTTCACCTGAGTAGTCTGCCTAGAGGTTTGCCAATTTTGTTGATATTCTCAAAGAAATAATGTTTGAGGTCATTGAGTTTTTTTCTGAAGTTTTCTCCATTTTCTATTTTATTTATTTCTGCTCTGATCTTTATTACCCTATGCTTAGGTTGGGATTAATTTGCCTTTCTTTTTTTTTCTAGTTTCTTATGGTGGAAACTGAAGTCACTGGTTTAAGACTTTACTTCTTTTCTAATACAGGTCTTTAGTGCTATGTGTTTCCCTCAAATATTGCCTTAACAGCATTCCACAGAATGCATACAGTGTGTTTTCATTCTCATTCAATCCAAAATAGTTTCTCATTTCCCTTTTGACTTCCTATTTGATCCCTGTGTCACAGGCATTGGAACCAGAGTGACTCCATCTTGAGTGAGGGCTAGGAAAATGAGGCTGGGACTCGCAGGGCTGCATTCCCAGAAAGCTAGGTATTCCTAGCCTCTAGATGTTTATGGTTAAGGGAACAGAATGATAATGTTTACCAAACATTATCATTTAGGACACTACCAGACTTGGGAGTGTCCTAATATCCTAATATCTTCAGAACAAAGACATTCCTAATTTTGCTTTAAAAATAATAATATCAGGCCGGGGCGCAGTGGCTCATGCCTGTAATCCTAGCACTTTGGGAGCCTGAGGTGGGCAGATCACGAGGTCAGGAGATCGAGACCATCCCCGCTAACACAGTGAAACTCTGTCTCTACGGAAAATACAAAAAATTAGCTGGGTGTGGTGGCACGTGCTTATAGTCCCAGCTACTTGGGAGGCTGAGGCAGGAGAATCGCTTGAACTCAGGAGGCGGAGGTTGCAGTGAGCCGAGATCACGCCACTGCACTCCAGTCTGGGCAACAGAGCAAGACTCCATCTCAAAAAAAAAAAAAAAAAAAAGATAGTAATATCAATTCTTGCAAAATTAATCCTTTATCATAAACCCTTGAAGCAGAGCACATCTGCCTATAATATATATATTTTCTGTTTGTTTGTTCATTTGTTTGTTTGGGGCGAGTCTCCCTCTTTCACCCAAGCTGGAGTGCAACGGTGCGATCTTGGCTCACTACAACCTCTGCCTCCTGGGTTCAAGTGATTCTCCTGCTCAGCCTCCCAAGTAGCTGGGTTTATAAGCACATGCCACCACACCCGGCTAATTTTTGTATTTTTAGTAGAGATGGGGTTTCACCATGTTGGCCAGGCTGGTCTCGAACTCCCAACCTCAAGTGATCCGCCTGTCTCATCCTCCCAAAGTGCTGGGATTACAGGGGTGAGCCACCGTGCCCGGCTTCCTTTTTTATCCTATATATACGAGCATTGTACCTATAGTGGAAACGTTCCTTCTCTTACTCCTACTCTGTCTATGGAGTAGCTGTACTTTTACCACTTTACTTTCTTAAACCTTGCTTTTGCTTTGCACTGCGGACTCACCCTAAATTCTTTCTTGCATGAAATCCAAGAACCCTCTCTTGGGGTCTGGATTGGAACACTTGGGTTTTTTTAGATGTGTGATATTTTGTTTCCAAATATTTGGGATTTTCCAGATATTGATTTTGCATTGATATGTAATTTAATTCCATTGTGGCCAGAGTGATACTTTTATGACTTTAATTTGTTTATGTTTTTTGAGACTTCTCTTATGGCCCATAATTTTTTTTATCATGATAAATATTTTATGTGCACTTGAAAAGAACACATATTCTTCTATTCTTGGGATAGAGTGCTTTTTGACTTATGTTTAGAAGAAAATAAACTCTTAATCAGGAAATGTTAGTCTTCAGCATGCTCCTCTTCTAGAGGATAAAAAGTGGCAGCCTCTGTGCTTATTCGCCCTACAGATATATTTGGTTTTGTTCACACGGAGCATTAACACATTTAAATAATTTCAACAGGTAAAAATTGGAGTGGCTTTCCTGCTAAAATCCTGTTTCCTAAGACCCACATAAATCCTAGCACTTAATGACCAGGCTAGCTGAAATCTTTGTCTGGGCTATCCATTTTCCCTGAAAAATAGGAGGATAAAAGAAAAGCTAAATTTATAAAGGGTCAAAAATGTTATACACGTATGTTTAAACTTGACTTTTTCAAGCAGTGGGAGCCACTGAAGAATCCTAAGGCATGTGAGGATAGTGATGCTGACTGGTAACAAAAGGTCAGACTTGTGTTTAGTAGGCCTGTCATAGGCGTGTGAACCAGAAAGACTCCATCTTGAATACAGCTGGGTAAAATAAGGCTAAGACCTGCTGGGCTGCATTTCCAGAAGGTTAAGGCATTCTTAGTCACTGGATGAGATGGGAGGTCGCCCGAGATACAGGTCATAAAGACCTTGCTAATGAAACAGATTGCATAAAGAAGCCAGCTAAAACCCACCAAAACCAAGATGGCGATGAGAGTGACCTCTGGTCATCCTCACTGCTACACTCCCACCAGCACCATGACAATTTACAAATGCCATGGCAACATCAGGAAGTTACCTTATATGGTCTAAAAAGCGGCTGCATGAATAATTCACCCCTTGTTTAGCATACCATCAAGAAATAACCCTAAAAATTGGCAACCAGCAGCCTTCGGGGCTGCCCTGCCTATGGAGTAGCCATTCTTTTATTCCTTTACTTTCTTGATAAATTTGCTTTCACTTTACGGACTCACCCTGAATTCCTGCTTGCACGAGATCCAAGAAATCTTCCCTGGGGTCTGGTTCAGGACCCCTTTCCAGTAACAGGCCCATCCTGAGGCAGACTGATTGGTGGTACAAGAGGCAGTGAGGCTGCCACCATCCTCCAGATAAGAAATGATGAGTGCCTGAAGTATTGGTCTAAATGTTGTGAAACTGCTAGATCACTTTTTGGCCTGGCTTAGGGGATGCGAGAGATCGTTTTGTTCTACGGCCATAAGCTCATTGCTCCAGTTGCCTCTTCGGTATTAGGCAGGTCAGGCAGGTTAAACTAGGTGGCTTCGAATGGCCTCGGGGTTTTTTTCCTTGGGTCTCAAAGCATCATCCTTCTGTTTCTTCTCACCAACTAGAGCTGCTAAGTGATGTCCAGAATGGATCCCTCACTGGTTGGGAATTCTGAATTTTTAGATTATATATTCTCTTTTCTATATGTAGTAACTAACCATAGTGAAATATCCCAGTATACTTCTTCAGCATATTTGCATGCAGTTTGGGATGATAAATAATTGAACAGACTCATTTTTGTGTGTATTAGTTGCTGTTCTGAGCTAAGCCATCTTATAGTCAGCATAGGCCAGGGCAGCGGGGGTTGGGGGCGGGTGTGCTGGACACACTTTGTTTCATCCCTAGCTAGTTGTATAGTAACGCTTACTGCCTATAGTGTGGAGACGCCACATCTCCACCTGGGTGGTGAGCTTCCGTTCCTCCTGGTTCTAGAACTCAGAACATGGCCTAGTGAGCTTTCCCCGTAATCTCTTCAAACTCTATACAGTGATTATATTTTGTACAAGGGTAATCCACGTCTCACTGCCCTCTCAAGTCAACTCCTCAAGCTCTTGTGCAACACATACACACACACACACACACATTTACTGGTGTGACTAAAGTAGATAGATTGATCCTTTATATGTAGAAATAAACATTATTTAGTCACCTCCCATACTAATAGGCCCGTGCCGAACCTTTGTGTCACTTTGCTCTTTTTATCAGTGACCTTGACCAATATCCACTCAAACCACTCCTCCTACTCCAACTACTTGCTGTGATGGGAGCAACACACATACACACACACACACACACACACACACACACACACACACACACCCCACATATCCACCCATACACACACAGTCCCTTGGCAGTAAAGTAACTAGGATGACCCAAAAGACCCATCCCCCAACTGACACGTGTAGAAGCCATGAGTTTCACCTTTTTTTTTTAAACATCTGCTGATTTACATTTGCTAAGATAGTTATGGATTAGCTAGCCACATAACGTGAAAATAATGACATAGAAGGAAAGGGGAGAATAAGGCAAACTTATTCCTTTTCCATCCAGTCCTTCCTTCCCCGCCTGTTGGTAGAATGTGTTTGTGTCAAGAACTGAAATAAAAACAGTTGAGTACAGGCCAGGTGCGGTGGCTCACGCCTGTAATCCTAGCACTTTGGGAGGCCGAGGCAGGTGGATCACTTGAGGTGAGGTGTTAGAGGCCAGCCTGGCCAACATGGTGAAACCCCCATCTCTACTAAAAATACCAAAATCAGCTGAGTGTGGTGGCATGCACCTGTAATCCCAGATACTCAAGAGGTTGAGGCAGGAGAATCACTTGAACCCGGAGGCAGCGGTTACAGTGGGCCGAGATGGAGCCACTGCACTCTAGCCTGGGCAATGGAGCAAGACTGCATCTCAAACACACACACACACAGACACACACACACGCACACACAGTTGAGTACAGATAGAGTAAGTCAGTAAGTTCTCACCATTACCTCCTCTTCTTTTTAGTTTCTGGAGCTGGCAGCCTGGCTTCCCTCTCATCGCTAACCCTGCAGCTGCGCAGGCCCTGATCATCAGCCTTGAGGCCCTGGCACTGCATTGCTCCCCTCATACCAGGTTAAGTCCTGCTGCCACCCTTATACTTAAGCAATGGAGAGAGGTCACTGCCCCTCTGGTGTGGCTGAGCCTCTGTCTGCAAGCAGGTTTGCTATTTTCTTTTCTTTAGAGAGGGGGCCAGCTGCACTTGGGTTTGGGCAGAGGCACAGAGCCACTAAGAATTGGATTCACCTCATTCCTCTCAGAATCACTTAAGTACTTTTGTTAGTTATGCAAATGTCGGACAAGCAGGTGGCCTTGGCCCCAGAGGGGTGACCATAGCAAGACTGGCTTTGCTTTGCACAGCTTCAATCCATTGCCTCGCTTGGTGGGAGCAGAGCTGGGGGTAGAATGAAAGGTAGACTTGGACTCCTCCGCTTTAGAATCCAAGAATCTACCCAGTACCCTAACTATGTCCCCTGATGCCCTGGGGTCTGGTATATGCCCTGAGAAGGGGCTCTGAAGGTTACTAGAAAGAGTTATTACCTGGGACGTGTAAAGGCAAGCACCCTCCCCAGGCATCGTCCAGAGAAGCCCTGTGGCCAGCTGGAATCAGCCTGCCTCTGGGGGCCCGGCACACATGGGCTCTGGAGCACCCCGACTTGTTCACAGTTGGTAGCAGTCAGTCACAGCACTGATGCGCGCAGCTCCCTCTGAGATTGGTGCCGAGTGAGATCTGACCTCCTACCTCATTTAGTCCGTGGGATTCTTGGATCATTAAACAGCGGTGGAGTCCTCAAAATGGAGAGAGTTGACTTCTGCCAAAAGGCATGTGATGCTCAAGTGATTAATTTGAAAAACGAAAGTAATACCTACAGAGGAGTAAACATTCCAGAGGTGCCTGCATTTGAGAGCTCTGTTCCCTGCGGTGAATGTTTAATCTGGAGTGTGGGAAGGAGCTATTCCTCCAAAGTTTTAGCATTCCTCCTTACTTTGCTATGTCCTCCCTAACACTCATTCCCACCTTTGCTGTTGTTTCAATGAGTAAAACAAAAGAGGTCGGGCGCGGTGGCTCCCGCCTCTAATCCCAGCACTTTGGGAGGTCGAGGCAGGGGGATCACCTCAGGTCAGGAGTTTGAGACCAGCCTGACCAACATGGCGAAACCCCATCTCTACTAAAAATATAAAAAATTAGCCAGGTGTGGTGGTGGGTGCCTGTAATCCAAGCTACTCAGGAGACTGAGGTGGGAGAATGGCTTGAACCCAGGAGGCGGAGGTTGCAGTGAGCTGAGATCAGGCCACTGCACTCCAGCCTGGGGGACAGAGTGAGACTCTGTTTCCAAAAAAAAAAAGAAAAAGAAAAAGAAAAAGAAAAGAAAAGAAAAAAGAAAATCATATAATCATATTGGAAAATGGAATACAGTAGCCCTACAGCATTCATAGATCTGATATTTCGTTCTGCATTTTTATTTAAAAAATAGCCCAGAAGGCCGCAGCAAGAAGGCAGGTGTAACTCCACTGAGCACAGGTGATATGCACACCAGGGGAAGCTTTTGGCCGGAGAGGACACACCATCACCTCCAGCAGCCCCATCTCCACTCTGCTAAGGTGTTTCTTCTGACTCTACAGTAAACAGGATACAGTTGCTTTTTGGAGTAAAAACAATTGTGTTAGTGTCTGTTGTTTGTGGGTAATTTGCCAATTCAAGGGACAGTGAACTTTTGTTGTGAATGTTGTCATGCAAGGTTGCAGAAGCCTCTCTCCTGAAATATTCATTCTAGAGAAATTGAGAAGCCTGTACCCAAATTTCCATCGTCGTGAATCTGCAGATTCTTGAAGGTCTCAGAAAATATTTCTGGAGAATATGTTTGTTACATAACTGAGGTTTCCTAGGCTACAGTAGCCTGTAAGTAAAAATAATGTCCAACTAGAGTGGTGAGTGAGAATGCTTCTGCCTCTATCCCATTACCTTAAGGAACTCCAAGTCACTGATGGCTCCGGGACTCCCCTAAGGAAGTTCTTCCTGGACTGCACAAATTAGTGCTTCCTTCACACCTGGTGGCATCCCTAGGTCCCTTTTCTTCAGCTCTCTGTCCCTCGCGGCTGCTGGCGATACTACAATACTATGTCTGGCTGCTGGTGCTGACAGTTGCCCCTATGACTGAGGCCTTCCTTTACAACTTTAAAACCCATTGTAAATGAACTCCTCCCTGAGGCCTCAACTAGGAAAAGCCCAGGGTGATGTGGCTCGGTGCTGCTCCTTCTTGGACCTGCTGGAACCACTAGAGTTTCTGAAGGCCTGGAGGAGGTCACAACCTGCTCGAGGCAGTGTGAGGCCACGAATCCCCCACCCATGATAATGAGAGACCTGTAGATCCTTGAGCTTCTCCTACGCATCCACCCTCAACGCCCAGGATGAGCTTCTTCTAGGAGGCGCCACACTCTTCATGAGGTGTGAATCCTGGCAGCCTACATTCTCCGTCCATCCAACATGCCTGGACAAGCCTGATGCAGAAAGTAACACAGGATTGGTGTCAGCTGGGAGCCCTCCTAAATGCTAAATATTTGGGAAGCCAGGAATAGAGAACCTATTCCTTTTATTTCTTCTCTTTGATAAATGTAGCCCATAAACTCACTAAAAAGATCAAATTATAATTCTGGGAAGGAGGCCATGGATTGGCACCAAAGCCACCATATCCAAAAACATAAATCAAAAATTTAGAATTGTAGTTATATTCCATCAACCAATCCCTCCACTCTTGAACCATGTTAAATAATAGAGAATTGTAATATACAGTGCAGCAAAAAAGAGAATATAAAATACTGCTAAAGCCATCTTTGATTTTTAGAATGACTTCAGAATTGAATAAAACTGAGTAAGTATGAACGATATAATCTTATTTGTAGATGAAGAAGGTTATATTGCCCTTAACCTTTAGTTGACTTCGAATCAGGCAAGTTCTCGAAGGCAAAATTATATATAAAGACAGAACAATCGTCGGCTCAGGTAAGAAAATCCTCTTTCGTCAAAACTACGTGGATGCATTTTCTGAAGAGGCTCATATTTCCCGAAAACACCGCAAGGAATCCTACACGCAATTGCATAATCCTTATGTGGGTTGAGGGCGTGGGTGCAATGTTACATAAGATCATGGACTGAACATCTCTGAAAAGAGGTGAAGAAATGCCTCCCTACACAGTGCAGGACGGGAAGCACAGCTCTCAGTGTGCTTGCACTAGGAGGAAAATTATGACAGCTGGTGGCTTAAATAAGAGCTTCATGATAAAGTGGCAGGATAGCCAAACCTACACATTCTCCTTCGTTTGCCACTTGGCAGAGAGCACAACACGCATGTGCTGACAAATGCTAGGTGCTGGGGCTGCTTCTGCATTGAATGTTTCACGGGAGGGCTGGGTGACAGGCATAGATTAAAGTGACGCATTTGTACAATGGCCAAGAATACAGGGTCTTAGGTAAGGTTGCCTGGTATGAATTTTTGCCCTGAGTAACACTGGTTGACTTAAGTTCCCTAATTCTTAATTTTTTTTCATTTATAAAATGGGGGCAACAAGACTTTTTATTATATAATTATAATAAATATATAATAAATATAAATAAAATAAAAGTATAATATTTTATATTTTTATTATAAAATTATATAATTTATATATAATTTTTAAAAAGAGACAACAATAGTACCTACCTTTCAGATCATTTAAAATATAAAATGATTGGCCGGGCACAGTGGCTCATGCCTGTAATCCCAGCACTTTGGGAGGCCGAGGTGGGTGGATGATCTGAGGTCAGGAGTTCAGGACTAGCTTGGCCAAATATGGTGAAACCCTGTCTCTACTAAAAACACAAAAATTAGCTAGGCACGGTGGTGCGCCTGTAATCCCAGCTACTCAGGAAGGTGAGGTGGGAGAACAACTTGAACCTGGGAGGCGGAGGCCGCAGTGAGCTGAGATTGCACCACTGCACTCTAGCCTGGCAACAGAGCAAGACCCCATCTCAAAAGAAAAAAAAAAAAATATATATATATATATATATATAAATACACACACACACACACACAGTGATTAGAGTTATTAATGAGTTTAGTATAGTGCACATATAGTATAGACCACATCTAGGAAGTGGTCCTTAAAAATTAACTATTAATAGGCTTGGCACGGTGGCTCACGCCTCTAGTACCAGCATTTTGGGAGGCTGAGGTGGGTGGATCACCTGAGGTCAGGAGTTCATTACCAGCCTGGCCAACATGGCAAAAAACGCGTCTCTACTAAAAATACAAAAATTAGCCAGGCGAGGTGGCGGGCACCCATAGTTCCAACTACTCAGGAGGCTGAGGCAGGAGAATCACTTAACCCAGGCGGCGGAGGTTGCAGTGAGCTGAGATTGTGCCACTGCACTCCAGTCTGGGCAACAGAGCAAGACTCCGTCTTAATTTAAAAAAAAAGAAAAAGAAAAAGAAAAAGAAAAGAAAAAAGAAAAACCAGCCAGTCATAAAAGGCCACGTATTGTGTGATTCCATTTATATGAAATGACCATAGTAGGTGAATCCATAGAGACGTAAAGCAAATCGTGGTTTCAGAGAGTGGAAGGATAGGGAGTGAATGCTAACGGATACAGGGTTTATGTTGGGGGTGATAAGAATGTTCTGAAATTAGATAATGGTAATGGTTGCACAACTCTATGTACTAAAAACCACTGAATTGAGAGAGGTGAATTTGATGGTACGTGAATTATATGTTGATAAAAAGGAAGCTCTCAGGCTGAGTGCAGTGGCTCACACCTGTAATCCCAGCACTTTGGGAGGCCGAGGCGGGCGAATTATGATGTCAGGAGTTGGAGACCAGCCTGGCCAACATGGTAAAAACCACATCTCTACTAAAAATACAAAAAATTAGCTGGGTGTAGTGGTGAGTGCTTGTAATCCCAGGTACTCAGGAGGCTAAAGCAGGAGAATCGCTTGAACCCAGGAGGCAGAGGTTGCAGTGAGACGAGATTGCACCACTGCACTCCAGGCTGGGCGACAGAGTGAGACTTGGTCTCAAGAAGGAAAAAAAAAAAGAAAAAAAAAGCACTCTACATAAATATTTCTTTCAGTTACTATTGTTAATGACCCAGTGTAAAATATGTCCTGTTTAATAATGTGCCATTCTGAAAAGAAAGTTATTCAATCCTCGCCTTAATGCAAACTTGAGAACGTAATGGGGAGAGTGGAAGGCTGGATTTGTGGGGGCCCAAACCTTTTCTCAAGGGTCTCCTTGGCCTAAATTCAACAGCTCCTCACTGCAGACCCAACTTCTTTCGCTTGTCCACAGCCACAGCTCCACAAAATGCCAACCACTGTCTTCTGCTGGAGAATTTACATTTTCCCCTGGGGGTTTTAGTAAACAGAGGGAAGGGTTTCTAGAGCTGAGGGTGCCTTGAGTACTGCAGCACACTGGCTGGAGAAGAGGACTTTGGATGCATGACTCTTCCACTCCCAAAAACACTACCCCCAGCCACCACCTTGGCCCAGCTCAGGTGACATGTACACCTGCTAGAGCGCAATGACCAGTGTTTGGTTCTTGTTTCTGCTTTAAGTTCTTTTCAAGCGGCCAGGACTCTAGCTGCATGGTTGTGCAGGGAACTATGCACCAAAAGCAAGTGAACAAGTCTGAATAGTAACAGTTACGTGGATCAATTGCTTACCAGCGCCAGGTACCACCGCAAGAAATTTGCACACTTTATCCCATGTAATCCTCCCCCTGGGCCTGGTGAGTAGGCACTATTCTTACCCCTGGAAGGCAGAACTACTGTTATGCCATCAGTTGCTCACTTGTTGTAGTAAAGTCAGCTTTGAAAAGTTGCAACCGGCTGGGCTCAGTGGTTCACGCCTGTAATCCTAGCACTTTGGGAGGCCGAGGCGGGTGGATCATGAGGTCAGGAATTCAAGACCAGCCTGGCCAACATGGCAAAACCCTGTCTCTACCAAAAATACAAAAAAAAAAAAAAAAAAAAAAAATTAGCCAGTCATGGTGGTGGATGCCTGTAGTCCCAGCAACTCAGGAGGCTGAGGCAGGAGAATCATTTGAACCTGGGGAGTGGAGGTTGCAGTGAGCCAAGATCATGCCACTTCACTCCAGCCTGGGCGAAAGAGTGAGACATCATCTCAAAAAAAACAACAACAACAACAAAAAAGGAGACAAAAAAAGGTTGCATCCGTAATGGTTTAGTTTCTAAATCTGTGTTAGACTGCATGGGCTGCCATAACAAAATATCACAGACTGGGTGGCTTAAACAACAAACACTCATTTTCTAACAGCTCTAGAGGCTGGAAGTCCATGATCAAGGTGCCACCAGGGTTAGTGAAGAAAGAGAGAGAACTCTATTGTCTTTTCCTCTCCCAATAAGGACACCAGCCCTATAGGATCAGGGCCCCACCCTTATGACCTCACTTAACCTTACTCACTTTTCTAAAGTTTCTATCTCTAATTACCCTTACACTGGTTACAGTTACAGTTTCTACTCTAATTACAGTTACATTCAACCTATGAATTTTGAGGGGAAACAATTCAGTCCATAACACATTCAAAATAAAGATCCTTTTGGTATCTAAATTTGCATTAATCATATGGTACGCTTTATTTATTTAAAAGGTCCTTACGATCTTGTAAGATTCAGGCCCTTTGAAATCTGGATCCACCCCTGAATATTCCCATTTTTAGAGAGGACGACACTAAAGCCTAGAGAGAAGTAACTTGGTCTCTGCAATACCATCAGTGAGTGGAGGATCAGACCCGAAGATGCTCAGGGTGTTTGACCCTAAACCCTCGCTCCTCAAAGTGTGCTCCCTGGGCCAGCAGTCTCCACTTCCTTGGGAGCCTGTTAGAAAGGTAGACTCTCAGGACCCAGCTGGACTCGTTGCATCAGGAACTAAATCTTAATAACATCCCAAGAAGTCTCCATGTTTACGAAGCCCTGCTTTAAACTGGACTGCCTCCACCTGCGTCTTTGATTTCATTTTTCCCTCCAGAAAGAGCAGCTGGTGTGACTGCAGGCACCCACCTCGAGTCATGGAGAGTTGAGTGTACACCGATGGGGGCTGTTGAGACCCCAGGTATGTCTGAGAGGAGAGGTAGGAGCAAAGAAGGGGGATGGAGTTAGACCAAGGAGAGAATGTCCTTCAGGTAGCCTCACACTCTGGTCTCAGGGCAGCTCCTACTGCTTGGGGCAAGAGCTGATGCCACTGTAGTCCAAAGCTGTAGCCTGGGGCACCCAATACAGCCCATACCAGGACACAAGCATGGTGCCCTGGGACAAAGAGCAGCACTCAGCCGTGCTCTGTGGATGAAGGGACAAAGGTTCTGCTTTCATGCATGTGGGAAGGCAAATCGTGGAGAGCTGCAGTCTTGCTGCATCTTCTGTAACTCCCTGTTCAGTGACTTTACAACACCCTAGCTTGAAATCTGCCAAGGTGCGTTTACACTGGGAAAACTGGCAAAAGCTACAAATAGGGGCTCTTTTTTAGAAAATAAAAAATGCCATTTTTAAGCATTTATCAGCATATCCCTGGATGTTTGCCACACTATAAAACATAGATGATTTAGTGATGGTCGACATCTGAAAAAGTGGCCAGGTGTGGTTGCTCATGCCTGTAATCCCAGCACTTTGGGAGGCTGACGTGGGTGGATCACTTGAGGTCAGGAGTTTGAGACCAGCCTGGCCAACAGGGTGAAACCCCATCTCTAATAAAAATATAAAAAATTAGCCAGGTGTGGTGGCAGGCACCTGTAATCCTGGCTACTTGAGAGGCTGAGGCACGAGAATCGCTTGAACACGAGAGGTGGAGGTTGCAGTGAGCCAAGATTGCGCCGTCGCACTCCAGCCTGGGCGACAGAACGACTCCCTCTCAAAAAAAAAAAAAGTGACAGTTTTAATAAGGACACTTAAAAGCACGTGCAGGAAAGAGTCCATAAAGAACACCTTTCCCCGCCAGGCGCGGTGGCTCAAGCCTGTAATCCCAGCACTTTGGGAGGCCGAGGCGGGCGGATCACAAGGTCAGGAGATCGAGACCACAGTGAAACCCCGTCTCTACTAAAAATACAAAAAAAAAAATTAGCCGGGCGCGGTGGCGGGCGCCTGTAGTCCCAGCTACTCAGGAGGCTGAGGCAGGAGAATGGCGGGAACCCGGGAGGCGGAGCTTGCAGTGAGCCAAGATCGCGCCACTGCACTCCAGCCTGGGCAACAGCGTGAGACTCCGTCTCAAAAAAAAAAAAAAAAAAAGAACACCTTTCCCTTTGAGTTTCCCTAGTATGTGATTGTGCCATTTGCTCGCTGAAGGTTAGTAAGCACAGGAAGGAGCGCATTCTGCTCAGAGACATGTGGTAGGCTGATCTTGGTGACCCATCCTCTACAAGGCCCTGCTCAGCCCTTTGCTTTCAGCCCATCACCGTATTCCTCTTTCTCACTGTCTGTCTGGAAGAGCTCAGCCCTGCCTGTTACTTCTGATTTCCTTGCCTAGCCCTCCCTATGAGGTGGCCACATCCACACCACAGACAAAGGCTGGTGTACAGTAGATGCTCAAAAATATCTGTTGAACTATACAATTTTGGAAAACAACTCCCCACAGTTGCATGTCTATAGGCCCTTATCAGTCAGGGAAGTGTGGGTGGCAATATGCACAGAATCTGAGTCCCAGGCGCCACCTGCCCCCCAGGCTCTGTGGCCCTCCCCGCAGTTGACGCAAGTGATTGGCAGTCCTGGCCTATGTAGTGTCCAGGCCCTGGGCCACAGCGTGCAGCTCCTCCCTCTGGCAGCAAGTCTGACCCTTACTCTCTGTCTCATCGTGACAGCTCTAACCAGGCTTAACCCTCCACCTCATTTCTAGAACCTGTTCTCTGTTGGGTTTCTGAATAGACGTTTGGGGGCCTTCCAAGGATCTGAGGTTGTCCAGGCCTAGAGTCACCTGGGCCTTCTTCCTAGAAGAGCAATTGCATCTTGGCCTGGAGGTGGCACGTCACCTCCTTCTCATTGTTTTCCTGGATGTTGAGGAGCTCTCTTATTCTTCACCATCTACCTGCTTCGGGCTTCCTGTTGCCATCTGTGCTCAGCATCTGAGACACTGGGTCACTCTGGGCTTCTTTTGCCCCACGCCCCCACCATACTTCCTTCTGCTGCCTCTGCCAGGTGCTTGGGGTATGTGTCACCTGTGAGGTAGACTTCTCCTTGGGGACTTCAATGGGGTCTGGCTCACAGTGCCTAGTCTAGTTTTCAGCTCTGGCCCCTCGTGGGCAGCCCTTCCCATGGTGGTGTCCAGAGCAAGGAGGGGCTCCCTAGATTTTGGGAGAGACTCTCTTAATACCCACACCCAAGGTGCAAGAAGAGATTCGTCCATTCAGTGCACCCTTTGTTTACTGAGCACTGACTCCACCCTGCTAGGCACTGCCCTAGATGCTGGGGGTGATAAATCAGTTAAGGGACCAGCACTTGCTAAGATCACATTCTGGGGAGGAGACCAATGCCAAACACATGAGCAAAATATATGTGGAATAGGATATGTATTTATGTTTTTCTATTCCATTTACATATAATGTATCTACCATGTTTATTTATGTTTGCATAAATACAAATTTTATGCATTCATATAAACAACATGTTTATAAATATAACACACATTACATGCAAACATCGTTACAAACTTACATTTAAATATAGATAATACACACATACACACACACACACAGAGTGACAAATGCTCAGAAGAAAATTAGTCAGGACAAGGCAGCAGTCAGGAGCTGGGGTGAGAGCTGCTTTTATTTTGCATTATGAGACAGGACCTCACTCCATTGTCCAGCTTGCCTCCCCTCACCGCCCTCCCATAGCTGGGACTACAGGTGTGTGCCACTACGCCCCGCTAATTTTTTTATTTTGTAGAGAGTTATCCTATGTTGCACAGGCTGGTCTCCAACTCCTGGGCTCAAGCGCTCCTCCAGCCTTGGCCTCCCTGAGTGCTGGGGTTACAGGTGTAAGCCACTGTGCCAAGCAGGGCGCTTTTTGACAGAGAGGCCAGGAAAGGCTCCTTGGGGAGACCATGGAAAGAGAAGGACTTGCAGAAAGAGAACTGTGGAGCAGCATCGCAGCCGGAGGTCCTGAGCCAGGAAAGTGCTCCACTCATGGGAGGCTGGACTGCAGGGCAGTGAGTCCCAGGGCCACCTGGGGACTTAGGAATCCTTCTAGGTGGGAGCTAGGGAGCACCCAAGATCTGCCATCCATGGGCAAGGACTCACATTTTGCATCTAGGCTGGTCTGCCTCCTCCTTCAGTTAATGAGAAAGCAGGGGATCAGAAGGAGGAAGGGAGGCGCCGCAGGCCTCTGGATACCTCATCCAATGACAACATCGCAAGGGGAGCATCAACCCCAACGCTGATCGCCGTGCAGGCTCGCTCGATCTGGCCTCTTGTTGGTCTTTTATTCGAGTCATTGAAACCATATGAAACTGCCACTTTTATAGGTCAGCCCATCACACCAACCAAGATCTTAGAGAGTGGAAGTGAAGTTCGGCAGATCAGGGACCTCTGGCTGACTTGCTCTGGGCCCGGGCGTGGCGGGCAGGACCTGCAAATCTGCCCGCCGGCCCGCACTGGAGTGGCAGGTTGTGCTACAGTAGCGCCCAGTGAATCAGGTGGGCAAACTTAAGCGTGCATTCACCCAGAGCGAGTGAGTTGTTAGCAAAGCGAGGCGACGCTCCAGCGCGCAGTTTCTGATTCCGTGGGACCCGGTAGACCCCCCAGATCTGCATTTCTAACAAATTCCCAGGTGTTGCTGACGCTCCTGGTCGGGACTCCCACTTTGCGACCCCACGCACTAGACATCTGCTGCACGGATACAGGTCGGAGAGCGGCGCCGGACACTCACTTCTCACCCTCCAACGTCAGTCCTCCCGCGCAGGTCGGCTCACCTCGCCCTCGCACGCCCTCCAGGCTCCAGGTGGTTCCCCTCCCCCAGCTCCGCCAGAGAGGCGCCGGCCCCGGGATTCCCGCACTCCGCCCAGAGAGGGGCGCGCTCCCTGCCCGGGAGAAGCCCTCTGCCGCAGCCGCGAGTGTTGGTGCTGGGCCCAGGTGCCGGGGGATTCCTTCCCCGGACGCTTGCCGCGGGCCGGGTCAGGGCTCGGAGTAGGCGGGGCGGGGCGGGGGCGGTGCTCCGGTGGGCGCGCGGAGCCAGCCGGGGCGGGGGCGCGGCGCACCTTGCTCCCGCCGCCCCCGCCCCGCGCCGCCGCCAGCCCCTCCCAGCGCTCCCGGCGCCCCCGCCCGCCAGAGACGGTTCCAGCCCCTTCCGTCCGCCCAGCTCCGCCGCTGTCCTCCGCCGGCCCGCGTGGGAGGACGATGGGTCAGCGCGGAAAAAGTGAATGAGGGCGGCAACGGTGGCGGCCGCAGCCAGCGCCTGACTCGGCGGGGCCCGAGCACCGCCCGCGTCCCGGCCCCCGGCACCATGGACGCGCCGCGCGCCTCGGCGGCCAAGCCCCCGACCGGGTAAGCTGCCCCGCGGTCCGGCGGGGTGGAGCGGGGTCTTCCCTGGGCTCGGACGCCTGCGTCCGCACCGCTCGCTCCGGGGCAGGGCCCCCTCTCTGCTGTCCCAGCGGGTGCTGGTGGTAGTGGTGGAGCAGGTGGTGCGGTGCTGGTGTTCGGTGCTGGTGTTGGGTGGTGGTGCGTGCTGTATACTTTGGGCGCCCGGGTCGTTGCCCAGGTAACCGTGTCCGGCCGGGGCCGGAGCGCACTTTTCGCGCGGGGTGGTTTGTATGCAAGCGTCCTCATGGGGTCCCCGCCAGCACAGCCCCCGCTCAGCTCAGAGCTTTCCTCAGGCCCCCGAAGTGTTTGCCATAGGGGTGGAGCGGGGAGCGAAGGGACGCCCGGCCTTTAACTCCGGCCTCGTCCCTGCAGGCTTGCCCCCTGCCAGTGTTCCGACCAAGTCTTCCCTCTCCCGGCCGCGGCGGCAGCCCCAGGGTCGGCTCTCCCGCTAGCGTGGAGGGGAGGGCTCCCCGGCTTCGCAGCCTCCCGGGCCCCGCGTTCTCGAGAGGTGTTCGGATTCCCCGGAGGGTTTCATGGCAGCAGCTCTCCCTTCCTGCCTTTATTCCAGGGTCTCCCCTGGCAGTGGAAGGGGCGCCCTGGTGGGGCCAGGCCTGAGGCGCAGACAGCCGTAGCGCACCCGCGAGTCTAGGGGCCCATCCCTGTCTTCGCGATTCGGCTTCTGCCTAAACCTCTCCGGGTTTCTGTTTGCCATCCCCACACCTTGCGTGCAAGGATTACACGTTACATTCAGGATTTGACTCGCATAAAGAGTAATTTCCCTCATGCAGGACTAGCAGCCCTGCTCATTATCCATATCCCGAGCCAGGTGGGCCGTGCCCATCCCGGCCAGCCGCGCAGGCTGGGCCGCGGGGTCGCGCTCAGTCCCGGCGTACTTTGTAGATTTCAGCGCGGCGTGCTGGGGACCTTCGACCTCGCTCGCTTGCCTGGAGCAAATGTGTATGAGTCTTGCAAATGGAATGAGGGTTGGGGTGAGTCCTGCACCTGCTTACCGAATGGGCCCACTTTCTGCTATGGCAACTGGACTTGAAGGAGGCAGCTTTGGGGACAACAAATCTTTTTTTCTGTTACAGTTGTGTCCCACTGACTCACCCTGCCCATGTGCCCATAGGCAGGCGTGTTGCCCAAGTGTGTAAAAGACTTTCAATTGGGCTGTTTTTTAAATTTTAAAGTTTTCCTTTAATGCCGGGAAAAAGTGAGCCAGATTAGCAAATCAAATAATCCTGAAGCTGAGAAACGTGTAAAAGAAGTTTTCTTTCTCTCTCTCTCTCTTTTTTTTTTTTTTGCAGTGCACTTATTGGTGGTTATATAATTCTCTTTGAATAAACAAATTCCCCAGAAAGAAAATAAATGTGGGAAATCCTTTTTCATGGTAATGGGCATCCCAAAATAACATAGGGAAATGTGAAACAGAGGTATCTTTAAATCTGTGGCTTTCATGGCCTATTAAATGAGCCTATTTAAGGACACTGAATTATTTTGTCACTATCACCTTATAAATAAATATGAAGACAGAGAACATTTAAAAGGCTGGCAAAACTGTATCTAAAGAGTATCCGTAAGATCCTTGAAGGGAGTCTAATGATAGAAGTGAAAGGATGTACCCTAAGAGCGCGGCAGTCTTTTCAGCCTGGTACTGTGTAGCAAGAGGGAGGCGAGGGCTGGCCTCAGTGCTTGCCAAAGCTCTGATTGGCCTTCATATTTGAATGGCAAAGGAAAACTAAGGATTTTTGCTATGGAAAACATGAAATTATTATTCCTGATGCATTCAGTTCTTTCCCTCACTCGTATCCAGTGTCTAATTTACTTGTCCGAACATCTTTGTCCAAGAAATGTAGACATATTATTTTTAACTTCTATTGTTCTCAGTTACTTTGTCATTTGTTAATCCTTTCTGCATTAACATTAAGAAGCATCAGTAAAATATTAATATCCTTAATAGCTTTTCAGACAAGAATTACATGTTTAATAAGCAATTTTGTGTTCAAATCTGAGGAGATATATGGTGTTAGGTCTTTCAATATTTTACATAATTTAGGTGTATGCTTGCTAATTATAAAGGTTGGATATTGCTGTGAAATTTCTGGCCTTAGTACATTATTGGTGGCAGGCAGATTCTATTGGCTCTTCACTGAGATTACTCCTCTGTTCCCTGACATTAAGGCAGTGTTTGCAGTGTTCTTGAGGGAAATTTGTTTTCCATCTGATTCTGCAACCGTTTATTATAAAATCAAACTTTCAGTAAGCCACTGTCTTCCCACATGATAACAAACTGATGAGGTGAAGCTGTTGCTGTTGCTGAAACTACCACTCCTCCTTGTGTTGTACAAAAACAAGCTAGACTGGGTGCAATGAATTAAGGAGATTTCACCCTGTAAAATATGGCCTACGAACGCTCTTCTAGAGGATTACTGAAGGGAGATAGGTTGGTGAATGTAAATTCACTGACTCTATGTCTGGCTAAATTATTAATAGGTAGTTACTAGTTATCTTTGTGAAAAACACAAATACGCATTTTTACTTGGACTGAAATTGTATGGTTTTTACTAGGAATTGCGTTAAAACAGTGATATATGACTTCCTTGACTCCTGGGGAAAGTGTTCTTTTAGGAAAGAGGCTGTGTGCAAAAACTAACAAGTCAGACTTGATGTGACTTTTAGGGAGTTTTAGAGCTCAGTTGAAGTATAAGAATTGACAGAATACTGAGAACACAAATAAAGGCAAATTGCCTTTTGGTGAGGTTTTGAACTATATTTAACTCCATACTTTATCTGTTTACTTTATCTGTTTGTCTGAATATTTATGGGAGCCATCCCAGTAGTCGGCTGTTACAGAACAGGGGGCTAAATTTCCCATTGGACCCTCTATTAATAAAGGACAGAAGAAGGCTTGGCAGGACCGTGCTTACTTTTTTTTTCCTATGGAGGAAGGACATGTTTCTGTAGAATACAATAATCTCCAATGACGTGAAATGTCAAAACAGCTGGTGCATTTGATCAATGGCTGTATTCAAGCAGTTTGCTCATGTAAAAATCAGTGAAAGTTTTGCTAATCCGTTTCATCAAAATGTGGACTTCGTGTAAACATAGCTGTTATTTCTTTGCATAAATTTGTATTTATTTAATCAAGTTATTAGAACCAGAAGAAATTTGAAAACATTAATCGAAGTGGGTAACTTGAGCTACTCTAGTCCCGTCGCAGTATTAAGTGTAGAAGGTCTGTGACAATTGATAGTGACCTGGGGCAGCCACAGCGACATTTTGTATTAAACCCTCATAAGCATGCAAATATTATGGAAATATTAACTCTACACCATAATCGGAGGCTTAGGTTTCTAGGCCTTCGGCTTTTGGCTAACATGTTAGAGAATGTGTTTACATTCTTTCAAATGAGAGCATGTATAATGAACTGTTACATAAAACTTTTCCCGTTAGATTTGAGCAATATTTTTATAAGACGTTACTTCTGAGCTACTCTTTATTTTGGCAATTCATTTAAGAAAGTAAAAGTTAAAGATTGCTTGATGTAATGTAGAGAGTAGGCCTAGGAATTTTAATGTTTTGTAATTAAAATATTTACAAATAAATTAGAAGAGTTGGACATTTCTGTGTTGCAATATCACCTAGTCTCAGCATTTTTATTATTTCTCAGTGGTTGTATAAAGGGGATAGAACTGAAATATGAATATAGAACTGAAGTATGAATAAAATGTTACAAAGGTATTTGTTAAGTGTTGTGTCTCTCCTGCCCCCAGGAACTTTTGCCTGCAGTCCCTCCTGTGTTTTCTTGTGACCTCCAGTGCACAGGTGGAGTGGATTATTATTGGGTGGAACCTTGACCCAGGCAGAGCGGTAGCCCCCACATATATGCAGGCGTGGATTCTGTGGACTCCTTAATTTGAGATCCAGGGAATGAAGTCATAATCTGTGTGCACGCAAGTGCTCCTGTAATTATTAAGAAAACAATGATTATAGGATGCATCTATACACCATAATAAGTAGTTTAGGTTTCTAGGCCTTTTGTGCTTTGTTACAAATTTATGATTGAATTTAGTTTTGTAATTGATCCAAAGTTTTGAAAAGTGAGCATAAATATTTGATACCAAAGTAGTAGTAATATTTAGATCAAGGACATGCAAATCTTAAATATGCTAATAACACTTGGTTCTGATTTAGACTTGAACTTTGTAAATACACTAACAGAGAGTTCCTGTATTTATTTCCTTTTTGGTGGGGGGGACATAATCTCACCATGTCACCCAGGCCGGAGTGCAATGGTGCATCCTCAGCTCACTGCAACCTCCGCCTCCTGGGTTCAAGTGATTCTCCTGCCTCAGCCTCCCGAGTAGCTGGGATTACAGGTGTGCGCCACCACACCCAGCTAATTTTTGCATTTTTTTTTTTTTTTTTTTTTTTAGTAGAGATGGGGTTTCACCATGTTGGCCAGGCTGGTCTTGAACTCCCGACCTCGTGATCTGACCGCCTCGGCCTCCCAAAGTGCTGGCATTACAGGTGTGAGCCACTGCAGCTGGCTGAGGTCCTGTATTTATTATATGGTGTCTTCTTACATCCCTTCATTCTCTCCCCATCCACATTTAATTATGAAGATTTTATGTGTTGGTTAATTTTAGTTATGTGATTTTTTTCAGTTACCTTATACTATATTTGATATATAGCATATCAAATATACTATTGGAAAAAAGTTGATATTTCATGACCCACTGAAAGCTTTTACATATCTTCATCTTTGTACTTTTTCTCTATTTAAAATACTGTACTTGATACTGGTTTATATTACTACATAGAGATGTATGGATAATATGCCTTTTTATACT